AAATATTAAAAACAAATGTGAAATATTTGAAAAAGGAACAAGGAGGAGGCATGGAGGCATATGAAAGAAAGAAGGCAATTTTAGCAAATGGAGTTCATGGTAGACAAACTTGCAATGAAGAATGGGAAACAAAGGGGAGTCATAGGCCTTTACAGTTGCCTAATCTTTCTAACTCAACTTCCTGCTTCAAAGAAAAATTTCCTCTGACTCCCTGACATAATTACACAGTCACCCAGGAATGCTGGATGGTCACATCATAGGGAATATTAAACAGAAAAGCAATAATAAAAAGAATGTATCTAACAGGAAGAAAGAAGGCAATATTAGAAGCATCCTGCAAAGAGAACAGATGCAAAGATTTTTCTATTGTTTGTGGAAAGGAACTTGAAATGCAAAGATAAGGCCAAATGACTCGCTCAAGGTCACCTGGGACCTCTGGGCAGACTGGGAGAGTAGATTATTGTCACGCTCTATCCACCAGACCATGATGTCTCAGTAGCAGTGTACCTGCAGGCTAAGTCACGTGTCACATACTTAGCACTGTGCTCCCTGCCAGACTTGAAGATAGCAGAATCACTGTTTCAGGAGAAAGATTTAAAGCTGTCATTTATGAATCTAAGTAGTTCTTTTTGTAAGTACATAAATATCTTTAGTATGGAGAGACAGAATTAAGTCTTGATAGCTACCTCACAACTGTTGACTATAAATGTTGGGTTAGTGACAAATCTAGCTAAAACGGAAATAGAATATTTATGAACTGTCATGAAAAAAAATCTTTGCAAGGTTCACATTTGGACAACAGTGCAATAAAGGCAGTCTTAAGAGTTATTCAAGAGAATTATCTTGGGAACTGACTCTGTGGTGATTCTGAGAATTACCTATATAAATAAAGTCAAATTGGAAAGGTGGACCATTCTGTTTTTGCATAGAAAAAGTCATTGGGGTTTTTAGGACACTATCTAAGATGTACTAAAATGGAGATTATCACTTGCTTATTTTTCGAAAAATCATTAGCATAGTACAATACGATGGAAGAGCAGTGGCCAATAGTTAGATTTGAAACCAGAAGGAACGTTTATAGAAGCACACACACACACATAAAGACTCCACAACTTACTTACATTACTTTTATAATATTTCTAGTTATTACAGTGGTTTGAAAGAGGTCAAAGGTAACATCTAAATATAAAATATTATGACAAGTTTGTACTGATTCCAATGTACAGGATTGAAAACAGACCTCAACGATATACCTGATATAATGTAGGTCTTTGTTGTACTTTTTATCAGATTACATTCTGTCTTGAAATAATAATGGCATTCTTTATGAAGCCATTTGATTAACTAGAATCATGAGCTTTGCAGGAGGAAATGAATAGTGGCAAGAATGACTTGCTTTCTGAATAAACACAGCCTAGGGAATGTTTTCCTGGGAGAGCACTCTCCATTCTCTACCTCCCCTGGTGTGTCCTCTGACTGAGCAGTTTTTCATGCACTGCACCGCTGCCCAGAATATTCTTAAGACAGCCACCCACCCGATCCCAGCTCATCACACTCTTCCAGAACAGCCACAGGAAGAAAAGAAGAGAATAGAATCTGTTGATGCCCCATAACATCTCCAATCAAGGTGTGAACCTGAAGCTCCAGTGAGTAATATGGTGTCTCACATCTATAAATGCCACACGTGTGACTAATGCACTCTTGAGACATGTTCAGGACAAGTAGAATTAAGTCTTGATGGCTGCCTCTGATGATCACACCCTCATCAGTAATCTGATCTATGCTGTATTTGCAAACTTGGACCTTGTGGCCTGCAACTCCCCACAGGCTCTCTCCCCAGCTGTCAAGCCCCTTCTAAAACACACTTCCCCTTCAGAGAGGGCCGTCTTCACTTGTGTTAGAACCTGACACCCCGAGAGACTTTCCTTTCACCAGCTGGTTTTGTCTATGGCAGAAATGTTGTTGACATAGCAGATGGTCTTGATATTTCTGAAAACCGGCAATGTCTTTGCCATTGCCACCCCCACACTCTTGGCTACTGTTTCTCCTTCAAGTTGTTTGGGTCATTTTTAGCAAACCTGTATGTTCCAATATTGTGCTTTAAATATCAGAAGAGGGACAGTGTAAGACAAAAGTCCCCTTCTAAAACATAGACCAAGGCAGCAAATGAGGGCTCTTTCACAGATAACCCAAAAGCTGAGATAAATTGTATTTGTCATTATAGATTCTTTGATGAATTAGAATGAGTCAGAAGTGAGCAGATTTTAAGTAGTTGTGGTCTGAAGTATCAGGCAGTAAGGTATGGCTAATGGAGTGTGTTGCAAGAAATGGAATCTGATATTCATGGTGTCTGAAACTCTCTTAAAAACAATATACCAATGAGTAATGTTTATCATTATTGAACACAAGATGACTTGAGGGAAGGGTGAGTGCCACTGGATTAGGGATTATTCCCTTAGTAGTAACTCTAGGGCCAAAGCAAATCCAAGACATCATAACAACTTGATGACCTGAGACCCAATCTAATCATCCTGAAAAATTAAAAGCAGACTGATTTATTTCCATGCAGGCAGGCGCTGTGAACAGTTTCTTAAACTCATGAAATAATGGTGTAAACAGCTCTGCTTCATTTGGGATATATCTGTACAATTCTGGAAAGAGCTTATTCTCCTGGAAAGGACTTTAACACAGATGGGAAGGTAGGCATAGGCCATGGAGGCCCTGCCAGGTTCAGTCAGCCTCTTGAGTCAACATCACTTTCCAGGCCTGTAGCACTCAACGACTGAGAGGGTCATTTGGGTTGGCTAACAAAGAACAGGTGAGAACTCTGCCTCCAAAATCTCACAGTTAAAACATGGCTTACTAGATACAAATCCTGCCTTCTCATGGTAGTATCAATGACCCCTAAGCAGTGAAATGTGGAGCTAATTGATTCCTTTGAATGCCAGAAGCAGGGTCCTAAGGATGAGAACCTGGTGGGGTCATATGGAGGGAGGGAGTATATAAAGTGGCTGGGAGGAATTTGTGAAAATGTTAACATGGGATGTCCCAGGTAAGGCAAGCTGAATGAGGAAAACCAATTTGGGTGTCAAGTGTATGGTGGGGTGTGCTGGCAAGGGGACTCACACATAGCACAAGAGAGCACAGAGGGTAATGCAGGGACTGTCATGAGAAGCTGGGGGTGGAGAAGCACTGGTACATGATGGGTTATGATTTCTGGTTCCTTCCTGCCTGTTGATTACATTTGTAGGGTCTCCAAAGTAACACAATGCTTGAATTAAAAGGGTATTTTCATAATGGAAATGGCTTACTTATAAAAAATATTCAGTAAACCCTACCATCAATCTGGCTTGTCTCCAAACACAAAAGAGCAAGATAATGAAGAGAACTGGGCCAATGTGGAAAACAGTTAACAACTGGATGAAATGGACACCAAGCCAATCAGAAGAGGTCCAGAGCTAGATTATTTGCTAGATCATGGGGCGGTCAGGAGGACCCAGCAGTGGTGTGGGAAGGAATTTGCGATAATTCTAAGGGTACCAAAGAATTTCAGTATTTTAATACACAGTCATACCAGCCAAATACAAGCCCCAAAGATAATCAACGTTTCTTATAAGTCGTGTCTTATAACAAAAGTATTTAATAAAGTTTATAGAGCCAAGGAAAGAGCCCATATTTGAGACCCTTCTCGCTTGTTAAAGGCTCCTTACTCATCAACCTACATCTGTCAACCAAATGAAACAAATTATAAAATAAGAATCCTCCTACATCTTTTCTCTTCAATAGAAGACAGTAGCTTCAAGGAAAAAGTATAAAGATTCAGCAAAGGGTTTACATACAGGCCACATTTAACACAGGTCCAGTTGATTTGATTCTTTCAGAGCAGCCTCTGAATTCTTGTTGTTCACCAGGAAAGACATATTCTGTATTAGTCACTTACCATACTGCTATAAAGAAATACCTGAGACTGGTTAATTTGTAAAGGAAAGAGGTTTGATTGACTCACAGTTCCCCATGGTTGGAGTGGGGGGGTCTCAGGAAACTTACAATCATGGCAGAAAGTAAATGATAAGCAGACATATTCTTCACAGGGCAGCAAAATGGAGGAAGTTAAGCCAGACACTTATAAAACCATCAGATCTCATGAAACTCACTCATTATCACAAGAACAGCATGGGGGAAACTGCCCCGTGGTCCAATTACTTCCACCTGGTCCCACCCTTGACACATGGGGATTATGGGTTTTACAGTTCAAGATGAGATTTGGGTGGGGACACAGAGCCAAATCCTATTATATTCAGAACAGATGTTGAGCCCAGCTGTGGGTGCAGTAATGGCCTGTGAGCCAGATTGTTATTAGGAACTTTAGAACCCTTGGCAGGTTTAAGAATAGTACAAATTCTTCTAGAGTGTGTTTGAGTTTCAAAGCATTTTGAAAACATTTGGTAGACATGTGCAAACATACCAAATGTGTAATTGTCCCTGAAAGCACAGGCATCTAATTGACTATTTAGTGACAGCATAAGATGGGTCTCATTTCTCAAAAAAGAGTAGGTTGTCAACATTTTAGAATATACTCCATAGAAACTCATGTAGCATAGCTCAGTGATATGCCTATGAATCTTGAATATTAATTTCTCTTTCCTCATGAAAAATACATCTATCTGTCTACTTACTATGTATTATAAATATTTTTCTTTTTAAGCAAAATCTTTAGTTAACTTGTAAAAGAATAAAGAATTCTATATAAAAGTTTTAAAAATTGCTTTAGACCAACATGTCAGTTGGAACAAAAAGATTTCATACTTTTTCACAAAAAAATTTTTCTTTGTATTTAAAACAAAATATTTAACAAACTATGTCACATATGAAAAATGTGTATGAAGAGGTTGGATTAGTGTTAAAGTAACATGATGGTAAATCTTGCCTATTAGCGGTAGATTCCAATATCAGAGAAAACTGTTTTCTAGGCTTTTTGTGCTTCTGTTTCACAGACATCCACCTGAGTTCTAAATTTATTTCTCAAAGAAGCCAAGCTCCCGAGAGAGAAATGATACTGTGAGGTAAGAGTTCATAAGGAGACACACACAGATACACCCGCACAAATCACACTGACTGTCATCCCACCACCGTGTAGTCTACTAGAATTTCAGGTGGGCTGAATAAAAATGTAGAATTAACATGGTTCTTTCAAAATAATAATGATTAATAAATAATTCCTAAAGTAGAATTTTAAAATTCATCTTTTATGAACCTGTATTTTTGGCCTACTTTGGTATTACAGATAGCCGTTTATAACCCCTTGCATTTCACCAAAAACACTTTGATTTTGTACTGTGGCAGGGAATCTAAGGAAATAAATTTTATCTCTTTTACCTGTTTCTTCCTTGCTCTATTTCAAGGCAGAATTCACGCTTTGAAATTCCTTGCCACATGGATGTTAGTCTGGCAGAAAACATAAGCAATCTTAGATCCAAAGCTTTTTTTGGCTTTATATAAAAATCTCAGCCCTTTAGAAAAAATGAAGTTCCAAAGTTGGTGAGAAGGGGAGTGGTTTTGAATGCAGGGAAAGATTGAGTCAGAATGGGAAAAGGAGAAAGAGCCTCAAACCCTGCAGTCTGACAGCTCAGTCTGACAGAGAGTGACCAGACCTTAGAAAGGAATGGGTGTGTGGTTCCCAGCCTTATCCAAATCCCCATTCCCTAAGTGTGACCCAGAGGCTGGGTCACAAGGCACAAAGAGACCATAATAGTAGTAGAGCAAAAAATTAAATTAAAATTAAATTAAATTTTAATTAAATTAAAAAATTAAAATTCAGTAGTAGAGCAAAAAATTAAAGGATCTTAGAAGGATTTTTCTGCTGTTTTATCCTTTTCTTTGGGTTCTCAGTCCCTTATCTGGGAGTGTGTGTCTATATGTGTGGGTGTATGCACGCTGTGTGGGTGTGGGCATGGTGGTGGGATTTAGAGGATGGGGCCAAGCATGAGTAGGGATTCCAATGGAGTCAGTTGCAAAGTTGAACTAAGTTGATCTAAAGGAATAAAGATATAATAGTCTTTCCATACCAAAGTATGTGGACTAAATTGATCTTGGCCATAGTTGACCATTAAGGATTATACATAAAGAATCAAAATTCTTGGTTTGAATACAAACGGGAGTCATTGATTTTCTAGGAAGCTGAATGCATTGTGCTTATTATATATACCTTCCGAAAAGTTACCTCATGTCAAATTGTGCACAAAATAGATCTTTTTCCTACCCTGCTGAATGTAGCTGTTTATGGTTTTGAAACCTTTACCCTTGGAAAGGTGCAGTGGATGTTACTCTGCTAAATCTCAAAATGCACTGATTCACTCCACAGATGTTTACAGCCAGTGTTTACATCTGTTTACCAGTGTTTGTATGTCCTCTATCTACCAAGCACCGATCTTGGTTTTGGAATATGATATAAATAGCATACTCTCCAGCTCTCAAAGCACTCAGAAGCCTGGTACAGGGAATCTACTTACTCTCAAATTTCTTATCCTATGGAGGATCCCTTGTATTTAACAGAGACCAGCCAACGAACAGTGACCCGTACTGGAAGGTTAGAATGGGAAAGAGAAAAGATCACAAGCCTGTTGCGTTGTGAACCTCGCACCCTGAAATCTGGCAGCACCAGGAAAGAGACCTCAGTAAGAGTGTCTCTGTGATTCCCAACTCTCCCAAACCCCTATTCCCTAAGTGCCACAAAGTAAGCCAAGGCAATGGTCATCCCTCTCACTCTGTCTGGTAATAAATTTGTTCCTGGGGCATATCCTGCTTCCCATTCCCCATTATGATGTCAAAATGCAAATAGCAGGTATGATGAAGATGAGCATATGATAGAAATAAGACTGTATTTCACAAAAATATAATCAAATCTTTATAGTTCAAAATAAGCTTACAGATCTCCACCTAATATGACTTCAAGTAAATTTACATTATGTGAACCTACAATTTCCTAAGTATTTGCTATACTGGCCCATAGCTTGGTCAAATGTCTCTGCATCCTCTTAGATGGAATCTTTGCCATCTACAAATAGCTTCTGCTTTTGAAAAAAGTCATTCAACAAACTCTGTAAAACTACCAGAGGTACCGGGAACTGGATCAGGTGGTAGGGGTTAAGGATGAAGGCCACCCTCTCTACTTAAACTCAATAGATTTTCTTGGTTATATCAACATTTTCTCAACTCCGTTCATTTAAAGAATACATTTTTTTGGAAAACGCATTTAGTTATGATTCAGCAATATAGCAATGTAATGAGATAAAGCTTATACATATTTTTTAGGTGGTACCCTAAGCCAGACTTTCGCCCTGAAGACTTTTCTACTCTGCAGTGTTTATTTTTCTCTGCTTCAAGATGTCTGCAGCAAAAAGAATAATGCAGAGATTAAACATCAGTGTTATTCTAAAAGCAATCATCTGAAAAATTCAGATTCCCTCAACAATGACTACCTTCAAAAATAAAAATTCAGTCATGCAGTGGGTTTTTCAGTCTTGAGAATGTCAAACAGCGTATGTGACTGACTTTCACTAAATTGACTAGTCACTGTTGAATGACATGCCCCTTAGCTAGGACAGCTTGGAAAATTGTTCTCAAAGCTTTTGGGACACTTTCACTCCAATTTTTAACATAGCTCCAAGAATATCTACTTAACTACCAGGCATCTTCTAGGGTACAGACATTCCTATACAAAAGACTGATCACCCTCTTCACTAAGCAATCTCCAGAGTGGGACTTCAGTTGCTTATTATAAGAGAACTAGTCTTATAAGTCACTTTTGACTTCCTTATAATCCATGGGTTTTCTCATTTCGATCCCTGTCAGAGGTCAGAATGTTTTCCCTCCATTCTTTAGCATCTTCATTTGCCTACAGTTATTGTTCAAAGGTAAGCTGGAAACTGTCGATAGGAAGAAATATATGATGCGGTGCATGACAATACAGTTGTGTGCCTCATATGGTTGCTGTAGCTCACAGAGGATTGATCTTAACAGGTGATTGATAACTGGCTGTGGAATAAATAAAGCAATAATTGAATGACAATATAACTGTAGAATCCATGGGCAATGTGTATAGGAGTTACTAAGTGTATAAAGATTCTACCTGAGACTGGGTAATTTTTAAACAAAAGAGGTTTAATTGACTCACAGTTCCACATGGCTGGGGAGACTTCAGGAAACTTGCAATTATCTAGGAAGGTGAAAGGGAAGCAAGGCAAATATTCACAGGATGGCAGAAGAGAGAGAGAGAAGGGGGATGTGCCACACTTTAAAACCACCAGATCTCCTGAGAACTTCCTCACTATTATGAGAACAGCACGGGGAACTGCCCCCATGATCTAATCACCTCTCACTAAGTCCCTCTCTAAACACGGGGAATTACAATTTAAGATGAGATTTGGGTGGGGATACAGAGCCAAACCATATCACTAAGTAATCAGAGACTGTAAGAATTACTTAAATATTGTTTTGCCAGATTACATTTTTTTCAAGTAAGAAATGTTTTCAATTCCAGCGTTAGCCAACTTAGGATGTCCTATTGTTTCCCCTAGTGACCAAGCAGAAAACAAAATAAAAACAATCAGAGAAGAGAGTTCAACAAAGGGATTGTTCACAATTGTGTGGTTAAGTGTAGTGTCACATCAAAGAATAGGTTAGTGCCTTGGAGTCAGCACAAGCTGGAGTGCTGAGGGGCAGGAGGAGGAAGCAGTTAGTGACCAGAACACAGAGTGGCTGCATGGAGAGGGCCACCCAATAAGAAAGGTGTCCTCAGGTAGAAGGCCAGAGCCAGTTTGTGGTGACTTGCCAGGAAGCTTGCTGTTGGAATAAAAGTGCTTACCTCATTCTGCACTAAACTTTTAATTTCCTGGCAAGCGTCTTCCATTGGCCAAACTGGAAGCTGGAGGGCAAGGAAGCTTGTTGGTGCAGTCCCTGGAAGTTAAAGGCTTGGATTTCAAAGGAGGGTAGTGAAGGTTGGAGAGTGAATCTGGAGGGGCTAACCCAAAATACCCAGGTTCCTTCTCTGTTTATTGGCTGAGGTGGTTAATTGGTGGTCTTCTAAGTATTGATAGTTTCCTTCCAATTTTTATTTGTGTGGGATAATACCTCTTTCAGAGGTAGAGAAAGCATAATGGAAAGCATAAATTTCAACCATGGAATTCCCCTTCTCTCCCCGACAAAAGGTATTGTGACAGAAAAGAAATGTAGAACTTCAATTCATTTTATAAGTACTGTGTGCTAACCGATTGCGCCCCTGGAGCCATAACACTCAATTCATTTTAAATTCTTAATATAATTTGTAGAAAGTCAAAGCTAGACAGCAGCGATGTCCCTCAGATTTGTTTGATCAGAGGTCTAAAAATTGTCCATATGTGTATTAGACTACTCTTGCATTTCTAGAACAGCACTTATGGATATCCCACACATGAATATCCCAGGTTTTAACTTCAGAGGGTGAATATGTCCGATCACGTTGCAGAACACAGTAAATCATCTTGTCTCAAAGAAAATCCTGTAATTAGGTAATTGGCATTGATAAAGTTGACCTAAAAGGGAATTATGGAATAGAGATTTGCTTGCAATTTCTTTAAAACTGGGTAATTTATAAAGAAAGGAGGTTTAATTGTCTTAGGGTTCTGCAGGCTATATAGGAGGGATGCTGCCAGCATCTGCTTGGCTCCTGGGGAGTCCTTAGGGAGCTTCTACCCATGGAAGAAGGCAAAATGGAAACTTGCACATCACATGACAAAAGCAGGAGCAAGAAAGAGTGTGGTGGAGGGAGGTGCCGCAGACTTTTAAATGGCCAGCTCTCAGGAAAACTTATTCACTATGGCAAGGACAGCATCAAAGGGCTGGCACTAAGCCATTTGTGAGTAATCTGCCCTCATGATCCAGTCACCTTCCCCTAGGCCCCACCTCCAACATTAGGGATTATAATTCAGCATGAGATTTAGAGGGGACATATATCCAAACTATACAAATATGAATTTTTTTCCATGTATATTTAGAAAGAAAAATTTCTTCAATTTCTGTGTTTTGA